GGGTGGTCAGGCGTCTCCTAAGTTACCAGATGAAGACGGTGTACAAGTGAGTGCGTTACTGGTTACCAGGGTGACCTGATCTCGTCTCCTTGGTGACCAGATAGAGACCAAAAGTAATGTTCCCCTACGGTATTACAAAGATAGTGGCATACATGTAGAACCAGTCTAATACTTTTTGGCCAATGCATGTAGAACCAACACTAACCACTTTCAGTGGCCCAAAAATGTAAAACTACAGGTAACACTTTTCTGTGTTCCATTCATGTTCTTCTCAGCCCTGCTCGCCGTCGTTCCCAGGGCAGCACGTCTTCGTTCCGACGACAGAGCGACGTCCCAGACGAGGTGGACTTCCCCGCTCCTGACACTACTGACGGTCCTGAGACTGACCTGTTCCTGTGGGCCGTCCTGACCAACAAAAAAGATATGGCGAGGCTATTCTGGAGGATGGGATCCGATCACATCGGTAGGTAAAGGGACACTTTGCAAGCTGGGAGTGAAGGCAAACAGACAATGGCTTTCACCACTGCTATTTTATCTTACTTACTTAGTAGTAATACGTACTTACTTACTCACGTACTTACTTGGGCCCTTAGCCCCATGCGTAGCCGATGACTGTCCTCCATCAAGCTCGATTCAGGGCTTCCGTCCAGACCTCCACATCCTCCAAGCACATCCCTATTCCACTCAGCCCTTATCCCTTATTCTAGTGGGGGAAGGCCTCCAGAATCATACCAGACTCTTTTATCCGCAAAAGATTATACCCAATTCTATTGCATCGTGTTCCCTCCAGCTGCAGCGCTCTCAGCCAGTAAGATTCTGATGTCTCTCGCCGACCTTGCTAAGAAAGAGGAACAACTGGTTCTGCATCAAGACCTGATGGACCACGCGAGGTTAGTAAGTTAAGCATCTGAATACGCCCAAAGAACTTAGAAAGCAGGTGGGACGACCAAGTCTTCAACGTACCACACACCAAATATAGAACGTCCTGCCGAGAGATTTCTTCAACCGCAGTGCATCAGTACACGGTGCCTGCGGATGATTGACTGATTGATGTTATGCCAAGATCATGTTTCAATAACAAGTGTTACAACTAAGCGTATGAATGTTAACCAGGCAGCTCCAGCGTGACACTCGTGGATTGCCTGAGGAGCATTAATAGTTGTACAGGTTATTGATAAGTTATGACTGTTAACCAGGCAGTTGGAGTGTAATGCTAGAGGAGTTCTGGAGGAGTGCCATCAGTTGTACAGGTTATTGATAGGTTATGATTGTTAACCAGGCAGTTGGAGTGTGACGCCCGGGGAGTGCTGGAGGATTGTCACCAGAAGAACCGGAGTCAAAGTCACGACCTGCTGGTGCGGCGGCAGGACAGGTGGGGTGACGTCACGGCCATGGCCATTGCCGCCTCCTCCCAGCACATGACCTTCATGAGCCACGACGCCTGTCAGACCAAGATGAACCTCGTCTGGAAGGGCAGGATGGCGTCTTTCACGCAGTGGTGGAAGGTGGGACGTAGTGAATACTATTCACCGAACCAATTATGCTTTCATGGTAAGGATTTTGACTCACCAATGATAAGTGATAGGCCCTTCAAGATTTAGGGTCATTCCTGCTGGTCGAAACCCTACAGTCCGCCCCGGGGTGTCTTGAAAAGGTGGTACACTGTAGTTACCTGTTCTGTCGATCCTTTCAGAAATGTGTCATCCGTGCGCGGCAAATTGTACTTTTCTAGCGGACCAACTCCCCCGGCACGTTATCTCTCTATTTGGTCACTTTCTATTCCTTCCAGCCGCCTCCTGGTAGAGGCTAGCAGATATCAAGAAATGTTGTGGATCTCGTCATTTCTCTACCACAGATTGTACTGTCCCTGGTGTTTCTGCCGGCAATCTTCTGGATCACGTTCGTGGACGACGACGCCGGCGATGAGAAACGTGACACTCCAGCTGCTGACGCTCCAGACCGGGACAGCTTTGATAGAAAGCTCTGTAAAGTCAGCCTCAAGGCGCTCCCTTGTGACATAAAGAAGGGTCGCGTCGGACTGCTCAAAGCCATCTACTTCCAACAGACGGCACCGGTGTCCAGGTTTATCTACAATGCGGTGCGTGTGCAATATGTTGTCAAATAAGATATAAAAAATACATCGCTAATAGCCACAATAACCAGACTAACCTTGTACCCTTGCAATTGGACGTCGGTAATTGTAATTGATGTAGGTAAGCACAGACGTGCAAAAATGAACTCTTATATAGACATTCCTCTGCACACCTGCCTATTTAAGCCATCATCTTCCCTTTTTGATTCAGGTGAAGCAAAACTAGAAAAAGTACTAACTTCCCCGTTTTGATTTAGGGTGAGACAAAAAGTTGTTCTACCGTTTCCTTCAGATGTTCCATGTGCTCTACCTGTGGATGTTCAGCGTGTTTCTGTTGACTGACCTGCGGCCTGGAGTCATCAGCCCCTGGGAGTGGTTTCTGAGCGTAGTGATGGCCAGTCTCATGATAGAAGAACTCAGACAGGTAGGAGAAAAGTTCAAACGGACAGGGGAGTGTTTCTTTTACCATTGAATCCACTGAGAGTGCATCATTGCCAAAAAATTGATGTTTGATATTTTATCCCATCCCTTTCAGTAAAATGCCTAACGGCCATTCGGACGACGTCACTTAAATTTGTTACGTGATCGCCGTAGGGATTATGGATTAAAATCATGGATCAAGGATGAAAATAAACTTTCGTTAGTGCAAAAATCCATGATACCAATTGTTCCTCACAGACATGTAACCTATCTGACGTCCCATGGAATAAAACAGGGTTATGTCACGGACCAGGTGAGCTGTTTTTAATGTGTTGATCTTAAGTGCCAAACTTCACTATGGCATGTGTTCCAGGTTGCCACAGAACATCCGCCCAACTGGTGGTACAAGCTGCGCGCCTGGTACCGGAGCATGTGGAACCGGATGGACTTCGTGCTGCTGCTCTCCTTCGCCTTCTCTCTCACTCTGCACATCAGCATGGGCGAGAGCAGCTTCGAGGCGGCCCGGGTGGTGTACTCCGTCACCCTCATCCTGATGTTCTACCGCCTGCTGCAGATGTTCCTCGTGCAGAAGGACGTGGGGCCCAAGATAGTCATGATCAAAGGCATGGTGGGTCTGCTTCTCTAATGGAACAATGTAAATCATTATCTTCTGGTATTGTTCTCACTCTGTATAGAAGCCAGTGCTGAAATGCATATGCGTATGCAGAATTCCCAAAATGCATAAAACAAGAAATTAACAACAATTCCCTACCCCCTGTAGATAATTTCATCAGTTTGGCGAATGATTCAATAGCAAAGTTCTTCATTCACAGCCACTTATTTAGCAACACAGTAAATGGGAAACACCTATCTCCAGTGCACAGTAAACCAGTGATAATTGTCTTCATGATGATGATGATGAAGATGGCAGACTGTCATAGAAATGTCTGATCTTGTTAAACAAGTGGTTGTGGATAAGAAACGTTGCTATTCAAACTCCCTCCCACAGTGACTGGAACTTGCGCGCTATGTTTGTGTCTATATCCTGGTTCTTGTCCGTACAGCTGAAGGACCTGGCCATCTTCATGTTCGTCCTGCTGGTGTTCATCCTTGCTTACGGCGTGGCCAGGCTGTCGCTGATCTCGCCCGACAGCACCCTGGGCTGGCACCTGCTCGTGGACGTGTTCCGCATCCCCTACTGGCAGATGTACGGCGATCTCTTCACGGACGACGACGGAAACGTTTCCGGTAAATATGAAATTGCCCTAGAAGATCGCCAAAGGACTGCGTTTCTATCATGAATTGGCAAGAACGTGGGACTGTCAATTAGCCACTGCTTTCAAAAGAAGTCAAACGTAGTACCTTGTAGTAGCACGTAGTAGATCAGAAAGTAGTTTCGTGTTTTCTATAACGTTACCTTTACTTTGTTACTTTATGTTACTTTATGTTACGTTACTTTACGTTACTTCGCGTTGCTGTACGTTACTTTACGTTACTTAACATTACTTTGCATTGCTTTATTGTTGCTTTACGTTGCTTTACGTTACTTTAGTAGAGTCAAAACTGACCCGTTCTGTCTGGAAATTCCCAGGCCCGCGGTTCGTGTCGTTCCTCCAGGCTGTCTACATGCTGGTGACCAACGTCCTGCTGCTCAACCTGCTCATCGCCATGTTCAAGTAAGGGCCTGTAAGCAACCATCGTACGATCGTCGTGCGATCATTGTACGATGTCTTGAAACGGTCGTGGATGTGTCGTACAAAATTGAGCCTTCTTGTTACGGAAAAGCCTATATCATCTCAGATCTTGTCAGTGGTTGGTTCTCTAACTGCCTGCTTGAAAATCGGTCAAAATCGTTCGACGGTTCGAGGGGCCAATATCAATCTTTGTGTTTTGAACTTCAATAACTTGAAATTGTTTTTAAATAATCTGAAAATGTTTTCTTTAGCTATACTTTCCAGAAGATCCAGGACGAGTCGGAGGTGCACTGGAAGTACCAGCGGTACTTCGTGATCGAGGAGTACGTGAGCAGACCCTGGGGGCCGCCTCCGCTCATCCTGCTGGGGCACGTCTGGAGACTGGCGTACTTCATGTACAGGCGGCGGGGTTCGTGCTCGGGCCCAGACGCGCCGCGGTCCACGGACTTCGGTGGGTCAATATAGTAGTAGTAGTATCGTTTTTGCTGGGATCTGCATGGGCTAGGGCGCTGGCAACGCTTAACGGTAAATTTAGGAGTTCTGGCAATGCTTGGGGTTAAGTATTCAAGAAGACCGGCAACGCTTAAAGGTAAAACAACTTTTTTTGCGAAAGGTTTTGGAATGAGTTCACTGGACTGTTCCTTTGTATATATGATGCGTGTGGCAAAATTATTCACCGACACGAGGACGCTGCGTTGTTACTTTTTGGCAATCTGCTCTAAAGATCTTGGACATCATCGATCTCCATACGAATGACTTGTCAATGACTACTTGTGTGCCACGGGCAAGTCAGTTCGGTTAGCCCGGTTCTGTGTTGATTTGTCACATTCTAACCTCATGCTTTGGTGACCCAATTAAATTCATATCCTTCGTGCACTTCCGTTTTCAGACAAGACTTTCGAAAAAGACAAGGTGCAGAAGCTGAGAGACTTTGAGAGGCTGGGCGCGGAGAACTACCTGCTGCGGGAGCATCGCGCCAGGAAACACGCCGTGGACGACAGGAACAGGAAGGCTCATCAGGACGAGAAGTTAGTCTCCATTACCTGGTGCTTTTACACGGGGAGATCCTCCAAGCAAAAGCTCCAAGCAGATCCTTTGATGGCAATTCCGCAAGGCAGTATCCCATTGGCCAGGCAGTGTCCGGCTGTCCATCCTCCACACTGCCTGGCCAATTCGATACTACCTTCCCAACGAATAATCTGCTTGGAGATTACAATGTAGGCTGTGTTAAACAATCAGTTTTACATAATCATTGTCAGGGGCTGACCGAGGCCTGACCAATGGAGGGGCTGATAGCTAGAAGCGCAATGTAGTCAAGAAGGCCAGGAGGACGGGTGCAGCATTTCATTCAAGCATAAGCACAGCAGCTGATGGTTTTCGGAGTGAGCAAGGCACTAAATATTGCATCTAACATCTTTGGTAACATCTTGGCTTCTGGCTTTTATAATTCGTCTTTCTTTTAAGTCGTCTACCGCACGTCACGAGTGCGTGTCTATGTACTTCCCCAGGTTCCAGGAGCTGGCCTGGGGGTTGGATGAGATACGGGAGGACATGGACGAGTTGAAGAAGCAGCTTCACGCCACATCGAAGCAGCTCAACGCCGAAGCAGCCCAACACCCGAAAACGTCAATGCCATGGCTGTCAAGGTATTTTGCAAAAACTGTTCCTGATGTTAAAGACAGCAATTCAGTATTTAAACTGTAACTGCATGGATTAGGTTCATATAACCCCAAAACTGATGCGAGTGTCCGACTAAAAAATGTTGCCTTCATTATGAAATCTACGTGGTTATGAGGAAATGACTAAACGCACGGAGTATGGTATGACGAATAATAGATAATAATTCATTTCCATTTCTTCACATTTCCTTCTTTTCTGTCTTGGCATTCTACGACATCGTTTTCCAATATTTTGTTTGGCAAGTGATGGCATTATTTACTCATTTTGCAGCTGCTTTGTATGATTTACAGTATGGTCTAAAACATTTTCTTGCAAACGGATGAAAATTCATGCGCGCTGGATGTCATCCATATCATCAAATCAATAAGGCCTAAATGTGCATTTAATAATTCACTGAACGCTTTCTTTTCCCAGTTGGGGCCGGTCCTTTGATATGGATGTCCCTGACGGTCCTGTTGATGATGCAGACCTGGCTACAGACGGAATCGAAAGTTACATCGAAAATTACGTCACCGATGAGGAAATGTCGTCCATGGATGAGGGCGAATTGAGTGACAGGTAAGAGCGTCTTTAATCTAGTTTTGGCGACGCCTCAGGGGCGGAGACTTTTAGTATACATGTATGTCGAACCGTAATATTGTTTTTTTCGTTGTTTGTACACTATGGCGTGCCGATATAAGATAATGATCATAACTTTCTCTTTTGCTTCAGTGAACATCGTCATAATACCTAAAAGAGAAGTCAAACCCCTTAGATATAGTTTTAGACATAGCTATAGCTTTAGACAACTACCTTTTATCGTGTAGATTTTAGTTATTTATACTGTTTCATTATTCTTTTATGCAATGTAATTTGCAATTAGCCTCCGGGCACGAATTTGCAATAACCTTCTCGCTAATACTAATGATCTAGTTTGTTTGCAACATCTTTTACATTGTAACGCTTTGATCGTGATATATTTTCACGTAGTTCAAACTTAAAATTGTCGAAAGCAATCTGTCACAAAAATATCCAGGACAGAAGATAAAAAAAACGAAGATCTAAGGAAAGCCACTAGAAGATGCAAAATCGACCTTGGTCTTCCAAAAACCTAGCAACAAGTATCATGATAATCCGTCTAATAGCATCCGTTTATAATTATGGGGGAAAATAGGAAAAAGCACAAACAGAAACACAGAAAACAGTACTGGTACCTCCATTGGTAACAAGATTTGTTCACACAGTGATATGAGGAGTGAAATATAGAAACTGTTTCTCCGTAGTATCATTGACGATTGCCTTTTATTGCAGTACTGAGCCGGCATCAGAGAAGTCAGACGATGAGGAAGTCACAGAGTCAAGATCACCTGTGTTCCGCAGGTTTGAGAAGGCTTTACAAACTATTGAACCCATAATACATGTACACAGTTACATTGATATTTACCAAAAAAAAGTTACTCAAGCAACTGGATATCATTTTGGAAACGGTCAGACGTTTCAGCTAGCATCCACTAGCTTTCGTCATTGACTGATAGACCAGAGGAGAAATGCAGTTTTATAAGCACAAACTATTGATTAATATGCAAATAAAGTGAAGACAATTTTTTGAAGTACAAAAGGAAACAAAAGTTAGAGAAGTCAAGACAAGATGATGCAAATTAGTACATTGATATTTCTTACCCGAAACAATGTGACATAATATGGTATATTATATGCTGTTTTTTTAATGCGAATAGTTTCTCTGCTAAACTATTTTTTATGTGTTGCAGTGCCGAGCCAGCATCAGAGAAGTCAGATGGGGAGGGAGCAACAGAACCAAGGCCGCCAGTCCACAGGTTGACATCACTTTCCCGTGAATCTTGTGTGTGACAGCTGTCAGTCAACTCACAGATAAACGTCTGAATTGTGTTGTTGTTCTTACAAGTTTGAGGAGGCTTTACAAACGATTCGACCCATAGTTACCCTGTTACATATTTGATATTTGATACCCGAAACAATGCGTATAACATGGCTCACGGGTATATTTAATGCTGATATTTTTAGAAATGCCAATAATTCGTCGATGAAGGTTAGACATTCAGGTAATACGAAACGCCAAAAAGCAGTTACTCAAGCAACTGGATATGATCAAAATTCAAAATCATATCCAGTTGCTTGAGTAACTGCTTTTTGGCGTAATGCCAATAATTGTTTCTGTTAAACCGATTTTGTGTGTTGCAGTACTGATCCGACATCAGAACCAAAGCCACCCCTCCGCAGGCTGACATCCCGCGAGTCCAGTGTGTGACAGCTGCCAATCACTTGATTCAAGCAGCTCGCAGACTAAAGTCTGAATTGTGTTGTTGATTTGATTTGATTTGATTTATTAAACTGTATAAACAAATATACAGCCAGGACTGCCCAACTAGCCGGAGGCTATTATTAAGGGTTAGCCCTCATTACAGGACAATTAACAATGTCAATTACAATTCTGATACATTAACATACTATTGGGTAACAGATGGGTCATTCTAAGTTGTTCTTACAACTTTGAGGAGACTTCGCAAATGATTCGACATATTGGGTTTAATAAATAAAACGCGTTCAAGTAGGATTTAAAATATATCACTTCAACAGCTCGCCGTATCTTAAAAGGCAACGTCCGCGCCTGCACAAATTGTAAGTATTGCAACAAGAGTGAAATAGATTACTGTAGTGAAGTGCTTTTGAAAGAGCTAGCAGCCCCAAGATAAATGTAAGCCACGCTGACGAATTCGAAGTTATAGAGGCTATTGTATTTGTAGGGCTTTTTCAAAGTTCTTAGAGCAATGTACTCAAATGCTTTTAAATAATGTAACCGAGACATTCGCCCACGTCCATTAAATGAGTTGTGCGCGCTGCAAATAGTGGCTTGCTACATTGTGGTACATGAATGCTTGCTACACCTATGCAACAGGAGTACACTATCTGGTAACGTTTAGTTAGGTAATTAAAAAATTCAAAAGTATTATGTTACGTGGATGCACAGCCTGTATGTTTAATACGAAATTTATTTGGACAAGCAATGTAGTGTATGTAACTATGATTACGGATGAATAAACATCTTGTCTTTATATTTTGTCACTCGTCAAGTTACTGTTGTCTATTGTGCCTTCGGATACCAATAATAAGGATTTTTTAAAAGATAAAATTACGGTTAGAAACACATGCCTTTCTGGTACATGTCATAGACAAAGGAATGGAGAACAAGCACTGTTCGGTTTTCTGGTCCTCACCTGGGCGAGCTAGTAGGTCAAGGTAAGAAACAATGCCGGTGGGAATTATGTGCCGCAGAAAAGCATCCTAGTATTTATCGCAACATCCCATGCAATGTTGGCGCTCACAATGTAACACATACAGAACTGTTAGCTTTAGTGACCGATTTTAACAAAGCGTTGTCCTGTTGTGGACAGCGCACCTTTGGTAACCACCTTTCGTGAGGCAGGCGATGTTTTACGTGTGTGTCGTTCCGTTCCACTTGATTTGCATAGTCTTTGTATAGTGAAAGTTCTGCTCTTTGTCAATGTGCTTTGTGGGAGTGGTTTCTGTACCTGGTGTTTTGTCACTGTCGGTGTTTTGATACTTTGGCTGAAAAGAAAAGGCACTTTCTCGGGTTACAGTTGCCCGCATTCAATACGGGGAAGGCATACTAGTAATGTGCACGTACGCACTAGTAGTACGTACGTGTATATTTGCAGGGAAGGAGCTGTGGCGCTGTGGCCTACAGTGTGGTCAGAGCTATGCACAAATCAGTGGTCCTATGCAGCAGTTAACGAGGAGAGTCATCACCTACAGGACACTACGTGATCGAAGGACTACCAGGGCAGATGTGCGTGATGTGTGACGTCCGGAAAGGAAGGATCAATGCGTCCGTTCTGTTACCCTTGCGCCGTAAAGCCAAGGGACTTCCTCTTTTACTCACTATGTGACTGCCAGTCTACACTTTCACCTGTACCTGAAGTCTTGGTAAAAGCCGGTCAGGTATGTCAAGAACAAGCCCACTATTCGTTACTTGGTGACAACGCAGCCATGACAAGACCGAACAGGTGTGTACGGCTGACATTTTTGGTCTAATGTCGGAACCGACGCGTAAGAACTAAGGGATAAGCGACACTTGTAATCGACCCGCGGACATGATGTAATATCAGATGTAGATTGCGTAATCAGAAGAAATAGACATGCCACAAGCACAGACCAAGCTGTCGACAATAGCAGACGAACTCCGTGAGTTAGACTTGATCTTTAAGCGTGGTTCTGATCTGGATGCTGCAGAGAGGGGATACGCAGGCAAGTTGATTCACGCCATCAGTTGCGAAAATAAACTCTTGAAGTGCGAAGCGTTAAAGAGTCTTGGAGATTTGTATCTGCACAAAGCAAAGACGAACGACTGTAGGGTTGAAAACTTTAACAGGGCCTGTGCGCTGTACCAAGAACTATTTCGACACTGCAGATGCAAGGAGGAGAAACAGGTCATACAACATCGCCTCAGGTATGCCGAGAAATGCACAAACCTGACACACAGTCCGCGTCGTTCTAAATTGGGGGATAGTGATTCTGATAACATTATATTAGCTGTGTCTAGGATGCTTGGCGTAGTGAAAAATGAAAAGACCAAGGTGAAAGGTCGGCGTCTGACGCCCGTAATTGAAGCCTACACACAGTTATATGTTAGTGCAGTCGTCGACAGACATGTGCGCCTCAAAATGGAAATTTTGAAGAGCCTCGGAGATGTGTACCTAGAGAAAGGAAGGGTCGGAAAGGAAGAGGCAGCGTTCACCAAAGCAGTCGGCCTGTACCGAGCGGCGCTGGACCGCTGTGAAGATGCAGATGCAAGAGAAACACTGAAGCATCGCATCGAGTTCGCCAAGAAAGTCAGAGAGAAAATTCTGAAGGTAGGAAGATCAAGGTTGAATACAGTGCGTTTCCAATACTAGACTGAGTATACATTTTAACAGTTCCCTGAGTCTGACAGAAATACGAAGGTGAACATAGCATTGCCATTTGGTGTTATCAATGTCCATGTTTCCATTTTGTGTTGTCAGTAGTGTTATCATATTACATGCACATGTATTCTAGATGAAATCAACCTATACAAGTACTGATTTCCCCACTCACACTAAGGCCATTTTGCTACGACAATCATGTTACTGTAGAACGTGTGTGTTTAGTCAATTCGTGATTTTCATCTTCATTCCAGAAGCAGCCAAAAGAAACAAGACTAACCGAGTACCGAAAACCTGGTGACGAAAACCTGCAAAAGAGCGTTCCCACTTTCCGTCAAGTAGGCCATGACGTCATCAGTCAGGGAAACTACGGGGGGTATGTATAATTCTAATGTTCTCATTTCGTAACGGTACTTCTTTCGTTGGAATTAATTTTTAAGCTGTTTACAGCGTGTTGTCTCTCTGCAATTGCCTAAGAGGGTGACCATAGCATCAGTGACAACACACAAATGCTGGCGAAGTTTGCAATTTACTTCATCTGGAATATCATAAAGAAGATACTGTACGTGTTGTTTATCACATAATCATACCAAACCACATTTCCTGCCAGTTGTTCCTATTTTAACGTGTAAACAACGTGCAGTTTAAGTACTAGACATGAACAATTAGCTATAGAATAAGAATGAAATCTAACCCCATCGGCAAGTTATCTAAACATAGATTTGTTTACAAAGGTTGCCTTTTGAAGATGAAGTTTTCTCTGCCTATAGCACCTATCAAGACCGCCTACGAGAAGGCAGCAAGGCCCTACAGATAGGAGACCTGGACAGGGCAGAACTTAACTTTGCAGCAGCGCTAAAGACCGTCCGTGTGAAAGGTGAGGCATTTACAGCTCTGGTCAAAAGAGGTCAAGATGGCTGCTATGGTGTAGCAATGCTAGCAACGACACCGGTCAATTTTGATCGAATTACAGCGCTTTGTTTAATTTACACGTCTGGACACTACCGGGAGCAATGTTATCCTTGATCCTTTGTCACTGCGGTTGGATCAACACATTCAAACAATGCATGTTTGAAAAATAGAAATCGTTTCATCCGATCACGAAGCACACCAAAACCATTCGATAATTGATGACTTTGGTCTATGTGTTTTAAGAGAAATGTAAATCAAAGATAGGATAATCTAGGCTAATGGTTACAGGCGACCAATGGTTACAGATGGCAATATTGACTCCCTTGCCCCACAGAATCCGCTAGGAGATTATGTTAGAATAGAATTAAGCGACTTGTATTTGAATTTTGATACAACTCTTGTTTCGTACAGCATCAAGTGCAGATGAGCACTGGAAAGAGGCAGAGCCTATGATAAAGTTGGGCGATGTCTACCTGAAGAGAGGAATGCATTCAAAAGACGGAGGAGACTTCACCAAGGCTGCAGCGCTTTGTAATGCAGCACTGGTCAGAGCGAAGGCAGAAGACAGAGAGGGCATCAAACAAACAATCTTGGAAATAACCCGATCATTTATCAGGCACGTGCTGAGTATCGAGCAAACAGTGTGCAGTGGCAACACAAAGAAGCACAAGCTCATCTTAAAGGAACATCGAGACCATGTTGAAAGAGAAATCAAAAGAATCGAGCACCAAGTAGATCCTTACAGCCTTGATGATGCTGACCCAAAGATAAGAGAAGTAGAGAAAATGAGAGCAGATGAAATCAAAACATTGTTCCAAACAATTGTTGAACAGCGACGAACGTTCATAGCTGGTCTTGTAGATGAATGTATGGAGGTAATGGGCCCCCCTCCCTGTAAGTACGCCATGATGGGCTTGGGTTCACAGGCCACAGGATTGGCAACCCCGTACTCTGATCTAGAGTTTGCCATTTTGGTAGAGAGGGAAACACAGATTGATGTCAAATACTTCCGCAACCTCACTCATTATCTGCATATCCAAGTAATCAATCTGGGAGAAACCATTCTCCCAGCAATGGCGATTAAGTCTCTGAATGATTTCTCCTCAGGCGACCCACTTGCCAACTGGTTCTATGACTCTGTAACGCCGCGCGGGTTGGCGTTCGACGGAGCCATGCCGCATGCGTGCAAGACTCCACTAGGTAGAGGGCAGACATTCAGTCTGATCCGTACTCCAGGTAGCATGATCAAAGTTCTGCTAGATGATGTTACAGTACATCTGAAGAAAGGCTACCATCTTGCGAGTATCTTGGGAAATGTTTCTTTAATTTCTGGAGAGCAAGACTTGGTCGATGAATACTCGGCTCTATGGGAACAACAGCTGAAGAAAGACGAGGGAAAGATTCCTCTATCAATCGCAAAGACCACATTGAGTGAAAATATGGAATCCTTCAGAAGACAAGATTTGACTTCCGCAATCCCTGTTGTAAAGGTAGAAACATTCAGTACGACTGACCTGAAGGAAAGTGTACGAACGCTTGCAGCCCAGACTCCAACTGCTAGGCTGTCAGATGTTAAGAAAGAGATGTACCGGTTTTCAAGCCTTGCAGTGTCGTGCTGGGCACTTATTTGCAACATACAACCGACCACAATCTGGGATACTATTCAGAAGATGTTCAGAAACGGAATCATCGGTGGTGAGAACGCGCACCACTTGATGGTACTGGTCAGCATCTCAGCAGAACTGCGGCTGCGGACATACATGAATAACCGTGGGCAAGTGGAAAACATGTCAGCCTTATCGTCAATATCAACGGATGCAGCTGATGTTGGTGAGAAATTATTAAAGAACGTCTTTTACATGTCAAATACAAAGCAGCTGCTAAGATACTACTACACTGCAAAGCCATTAAAGTACTTCATTTCAACGCTTGCCGACATTCAGGCCACCAAAGAGCCATCAATTCTATTTGACAATTCGCCGAGACTACAAGCAGAGATTTACGAAACTTTGTGTGATTATCGAGAGTCGAAGAGATGTGCGGAACGGGCACTACAGGAATATCGAACTGAACATGGCAAAAACACTTCACATCCTAGCATAGCAGCCGTTCTTCACAGTTTGGGCACAGTCTGCTCGAACCTAGCGGATTATAAAAGTGCCATAAGCTATTATGAACAGTCACTGAAAATGCTGCGAAGTATCTGTGGCAAGAACATTGCAAATCCTGATATTGCTGCGTCCCTTTACGGATTAGGGGGCGCATGGATTAACCTTGGAGATTACAGAAAGGCCGTCCGCTACTTCGAACAGTCAATCAAGATGATACGGAGTATCTACTGTGATGGAGAAACACATCCTCTTATTGCTGATTCGTTTCACGGCTTGGGAATCGCCTGGAAATACATTGGTAATTACAAAAAGGCCACCGGCTATTACCAACAGTCGCTAGAGATGGAGCGGAGCATCTACGGTAAAGGTACCTCACATCCCTGTATTGCATCGTCCCTCACCAGCGTGGGTGGAGCCTTAAGTGACCAAGGTGATTACGAAACGGCAAAAGACTATTACATACAGTCACTCGAGATGAACCAAAATATCTATGGCGAGAACACTGCTCATCCTTACATTGCCATGTCACTTAACAACTTGGGGATCATCTGGAGGAAGCTAGGTGACTACAAAAAAGCAATCGGCTTTTACGAACAGGCACTACAGATAAATCGGAGCATCAATGGAGAGAACACTGCGCATCCTCATATTGCAGCGTCCCTTTACAACTTGGGTAACGTTTGCTGTTGCCTTGGGGATTACCGGAAGGCCATCAGCTACTATGAACAGACACTACAAATGGACCGGGAAATCTACGGAGAGAACACTACACATTGCCATATCGCGGATACACTTTACGCCTTGGGCAGCGCCTGGAGTGACCTTGGTGAAGACGGGAAGGCCATCAGCTGTCAAGAACAATCATTACAGATGCGCCGAACGATTTTTGGTAACACTGATACCCTTGACATTGCCAAGTCACTTACCGCCTTGGGTCTACGACTCTTGGATCTTGGTGACCACAGAACTGCTCTCTGCTACTTTGAACAGTCACTACAGATAGAGCGTAGTATCCATGGTAAGACTACTGCACATGCTGACATTGCGAAGTCCCTTAACAACTTGGGTATGGCCTGTAGCGACCTTGGTGATTACAAAAAGGCCGTCAGCTACCACGACCAGTCGCTACAGATGAAGCGGAGGATCTATGGCAAGAACGCTGCACACGCTGACATTGCAAAGTCCTTCACAAACTTAGGTATCGCCTGGAAAGGTCTTCGTGATCATAGAAAGGCCCTCACCTACTTTGAACAGTCACTTCACATGGAGAGGGATATCTATGGTAAGATAACTCCACATCCTGATATCGCCAGATCACTTGGCAACTTGGGTTCCGTCTGGACGACCTTGGGTGATCACAAAAAGGCCATGGAGTACCACGAACAGTCTTTAAAGATGCTACAGAGTATCTTTGGTGAAAACACTCCACATGCCGACATTGCCAGGTCACTCGTCTGTTTGGGCACTGTAATGCAAAACCTCGGTCATCCCGTAAAGGCTATACAGCATTTTGAACAGTCACTGAAGATGATGAGAAGTCTCTATGGCGAGGGTAGTACACATCCCGGCATTGCCGCGGTGCTCACGTTATTGACTAAAGCCTGGTATGAGCTTGGCGATGTGAGAAACGCAGTTTCATACTATGAACAGCTAAAAAAAATTGAATAGGGTAGAGAATCATTAATCATGCCAGGCCGGTGGGCAGGAGACGGTCAATATCTTTTATGTCTTTTAACGTGACAAAGGTACTTAGCTTAGGACGCCTTGCATCTTCATGAAATCTTCTAAGAGGAAATTATTACTACCCAAATTATTTCTGTGGTAGAAGGCAGTGAAATATCATGCTACAGATAGCGATGCTACAGATAGCGAGGACTGGGCAATCAGCATCTCATAATTAAATGAAATGACATTATAATGTCCCAATAAGTGGCCTGGATGCCATCCTATTTGTCTATTTATCTTACAGGGACTCCCATATTTGCTCCTTAAGAAATTGGTACATGTAGTAGTATGGGCGCAACCAGTAATCCCCAGTATACAAATAGGATGCCACCCAAGCTAAGCAATAAGAGGAGCAAATCAGAACTAGAATAGGATGGACACAAGGCTTATTGACACTATCTCACAATATAAAACACCCACAAATCAAAATCCATTGAAATTGTGTTTTTATTGTTTCCACGGTCTTTAGTACCTACCTACCTACCTTCCATGATAAGTCAATGTAAGTACAGTAGTATCCATCGTACAAACTGTCTCTTCAAAATGTCATATTTACAAGTGTATCCGTTAGCATCAGTCCATCGAGGGTGTCCGTAAGTGTGGTCGCAAATGGCATGAGCTGTACAATTGGGTATGGAAATCTGGTGGTTGGAACACAAATCTGCATGATCAGTTAGGCTGTAGATGTTCCTGGCAGTCTTGAGGCAAGGTTGAGCAGTAGCCACAGTGACACCCCTCTCAAGTCCTCCTCTTACACTCTATTAAACATCATTATGCCTACCAAAGCAGAAATCTAGTGCTTCAGATCAATACATCAAGATACATGTACAGCGAATACAACATATCTGGTGATAGACCTGAACAAGGATTTAGATCCCTTTATCAACCATATCTGGACTCTTATCGTGCTTACTGTTGCTTCCCTGTCCTTTGAGGTTTCAGAAAGTGTCTTATTCTCAACAAAAAACTAGAGGAAACCTGTTGAATTTTAGATGTTACGTTCAAAATAAATGTTATGCAAATTTACTGATAACTTCCTTACTATATAAGGGCAGCATAAGAAGACAGAGCCCAGATATGGCCAGGGTTAATACACACCACGCCTCTCTACTGTAAATTCTGACACTTTCACAGTGGTTCTAGTGACCTCTTTACCACGCATTCATGACACTACAAACATACAATATATCCAATATATCCAAAAGTGTCACGACGTATTCCTACTACGGAATAGTTTCAACTGCGAATTTAAAACTCAGTCTAAGTCTCCTTCTTTCCCCTCCAACCAAGAAATAAAACCACAGTGAAAGTGAAAGAATTCACAGTACCCCAAGGCAACACATACAAAGGTAGACTACAGAGGTGGCACAAACATCTTCCCCTGAAAATAGACAACTCTTCTTCGGATCATTCAGGACTGCGCGAGAAAATCTTGGACACATTTTGTGAAAAAATAGGGACATATCTTTTCAGTTAGCGGATCATCTATGTTCAACATTTTCTTTTTCCATCCTAAGTCAACCACAGTACATGTAACATTATGTCTTCTCTATTTACAAAAGTAGTTGTAGTTTCCTAATTGTGTCTTTGGCATCTTGTAGTTGGCATCACTTAGCATGTACACAAATACATGGGATGTCTTTCAACATTTCGCACAAAGGATCACTTTTTGTAGCTTGGCATGTGTTACTAAAAGCCATGTCTGATGCATCACAAAACCTACAACACTGGAAAAACTAACTTCATCAGTTTCTCTTCTTGGCCACACAGACCAAACAAAAGGTCCTTCGGGACAGCAGAGATATCCTGTACATATATCTATATAATATGTAAATATACAAGTTCTGAAGATGAAAAACACCTTAAGATTTCAGTAGGGGGAACATATATCTCCTTCACACCTGAGAGAAAGCAAAGTCATCCAAGCATCAGCGGGTTTTTTTCACAACACTTGACAGAATGTTTTCACATATGCCTTGACCAACACCATCCTTTTTGACCTACTGCATAATAAATCAACAAAAGAAATTATGTTTCCAAGTCCAAGACAAAATTTTTCACAAGTCACTCACCAAATTTCTAAACCATGGAGGGTTAGGCTTTTCCAATATAAACTTTCTAGAAGGAGTAGTCCTCCTTTGTGACAACTCTCCTTACTTTGTCTCACATTCACAATTTTGTTTTTGTAAAGGTTCCCTCCTCATAAATTTTGACCAACTTAAATCAGCACTGCCCAATGTTGAAAACTGGAATATGAAAGCTCAAAACGGATGGTGCGGTTCAAGCTAAGAAGTAGCTAAATAGTAGTACATAGTACAAAGAAACAACTACACAGTAGTGTCTACCATACACATAACAAGGTAACACTGCATTTTTTTTAATGCAAAGAAAACAACTGAAGCTGCAGATGTCTTGCTTGAATTTTTCCTCCGTGTAGAAAATGCTGCTTAAGCCTACATGTGAAACAAACAACTGGATCTTTAATGTTGCCGATGCTCCTGCCTGCCTAGTTCGAGTCTTCGGATTGGCCTACACTGGTGACATAACTCCACATCAATTATTTTGCTTGTAAGGCACTACAGGAACTTCCTGTTTCTCCTTGATAGTGAGAAAGAAATGAACTTTTGGATTCAATTTTAACCTTTTATAGCTATATTTACATTTGTACCAGAGAGGAATAGGACTAAAAAAAGCTTGTGTCATACGAGTATAAAATTTAGCATCCTGCTCACTGCATGTACTTCCGTTTTGTTACTATTTTCCGAGAGAAGTCTCAGAAATTTTTCAAATGTGGAAATCTAAAAATTTGGATTCGAATGTATAGTTTCATTTCTGAACCATTTGCTGCAAATGACTTGGTTCGCTAATTTTTACCAGCCAACCAATACTGCAACAGTTGGGCTGACAGTGAATACAGCCGCTTATTGGTTTAACATGCTAGTCAAGACAAGAAACATGAAGTTCCCAGATCTCGGTTACCAGCCTTCATTCCAGGCTGTTTTACAAGTCTTAACCAGCCTTAGAATCAAGGCTGCTTCCCTGATGGTACAACACTAGTAAGCAGACCTCTCCACTATGCAAAACCTTATTGCTCAACATTGCAAACAAGGGCTGATGACTGGAGGAAAGACAAGGGTGTGGGGGGGGAAATGGAAGAAAGATGGATGAATGCTTCAGTGTGATGATGACCAGAAAGGCATGGGCTGGTGTTGGGAGAAGGGCACGGGGTTGGGGTTAGTGGGGCTGTACTGGCCGCTGTGGGGGGGACTGTACTGCTGAGGGG